GCTGTTATTAACGACCTGTTAATGACTGACCTGTTAACGAGCCGCTAACGGCTGACCTGTTAACGAGCTGTTATTAACGACCTGTTAATGACTGACCTGTTAACGAGCTGTTATTAATGACCTGTTAACGACTGACCTGTTAACGACTGACCTGTTAACGAGCTGTTATTAACGACCTGTTAATGACTGACCTGTTAACGAGCTGTTATTACTGACCTGTTAACGACTGACCTGTTAACGACTGACCTGTTAACGACTGGCCTGTTAACGAGCTGTTATTAACCGACCTGTTAACGACTGACCTGCTAACGAGCTGTTTCGTGTCCCTCAGTGACCAACCAGTACTCTGCTGCAGTGAACTTCTACCTGCAGGCCGGAGCCGTGTGCTCTGACTTCTTCAGCAAACCTGTTCCTCCTGACGTGTACACGGACCAGGTGAGAGCAGCACACCTGAGGAGGAGGAGCTCATCTTCATCTTTAGAGCAGATTTGTTTGTTATCTGGTCGTTAAAGATGAATACACGTTAGAGCTGACATGTCTCCTCCAGGTGCTGAAGAGGATGATCAAGTGCTGCTCCATGATGAACTGTCACACTCAGGTCAGAGGTCACCTCAGGTCAGCAGGTGTGTGGCGTACCTGTCTGTGTACCTGACGTCTGCTTGTCCTCAGGTGGCCGTTCTGTGTCAGTTCCTCAGAGAAGTCGACTACATGACGGCGTTCAAAGCTCTCCAGGAGCAGAACAGGTAGGAGCCCACAGAACACGCCCACTTCCTGTTCCCGTCAGAACGTTCTGACGGGAACAGGAAGTGGGCGTGTCTAACGCACTGCGTCCACAGCCACGACGCCATGGACTCGTTCTACGACTACATCTGGGACGTGACCATCCTGGAGTACCTGACCCGTATCCTTCCTGTCAGTCACTGTCGGGCTTGAAGGACTTGTCTTCCTCAGGTTGTGTTCCTGAAGCTCACCTCAGATATCCACCACAAACGAGGAGAGACGGAGAAGAGGCAGATAGCTGTGAGTGGTTAATATCTTACCTGCTCCACAAACACACTTTATCAGAACAATAATCCTGCTGGGTTTCAGTCTCTAATCAGATTAAATGAACACAACTGTTCTGGTTCATGTTTTACTCCCATCTCTGGCTCTTTTATTTTGGTAGCAATAGGAAGTGACCTGTTTTATCTTGTTCCTCTCACCTGTTCAGGTGAAAGCCATCGGGCAGACGGAGCTGAACAGCAGTAACCCAGAGGAAGTTCTGCAGCTCGCCGCTCACAAGAGGAAGAAGAGGTTCCTGCAGGCCATGGCCAAACTCTACTTCTAACCCCTGTGGGAGAAACGGACTTTTATTTTGTAAAATATGATCAGTTTACCTGTTTCCTGTTTGTTCCTGATGTTCAAATAAAAGCAGCAGAAGAAACCAACAACAAGGAAGTATTTATTGTGCAAAAGGACTCCAGAGACCGGTTGTGGAGAGCAGCTCAGTGACTAACAGGAAACCAGAAACCAAACTGTGCTAACCCCAGACGTACAGAGGAGTGGGTCAGAATCCCTCCACAACCAGGTGAGGGTCTGATCAGGGTCTACAGAGAACCACAGAGGTCTGATCAGGGTCTACAGAGAACCACAGAGGTCTGATCAGGGTCTACAGAGAACCACAGAGGTCTGATCAGGGTCTACAGAGAACCACAGAGGTCTACGGTGAGGGTCTGATCAGGGTCTACAGAGAACCACAGAGGTCTACGGTGAGGGTCTGATCAGGGTCTACAGAGAACCACAGAGGTCTGATCAGGGTCTACAGAGAACCACAGAGGTCTACGGTGAGGGTCTGATCAGGGTCTACAGAGAACCACAGAGGTCTACGAGCTGCTGGACCCACCCTGCTTCTAAAACAAGTCTGATAAAAGTTTCTACAGGTTTTATCTTGAAGTTTCAGCAGTATAAATGGTCCACAGGTTCAGGGTCTGAGGTGGTCTTCAGAAATCCTTCTTAGCACCAACCAGAAGTCTAAAGAGAAAAAATAACAGRAAATTATTCAAATCTCCATCTATAAAAGGCTTGATTCAGCTGGGAACAAACAAATGTTAACGAGCAGAACAAGGATTATTTTAATTTAAGCTGAAGACGAGGCTCAGTAACGCTGCACCTTTCACTTCCTGCTGCGAAGCATCAAGTGGGAAGTTCAGTCAGTTTTCTGTCACATGGAATGAAGAGAGGAAACCAGACGTTTGACTTTCAGCTCCGACTGAACAAAATGAAGCTGCTGGAGTCAGTTTTGATCATCCTGCTGTGCTGCTTTCATCAAGGTCAGATCCTTTTTACAGCTTTCACAGGTGGATTTATTTCTGCTTCTGAACGCTGCTTAGACTGAGATTAATAAATTTAATCTAGACTGAAGCAGGTAACTTCCTCTGAGATCAGGTTTGGTTTTTAAAGCTGAACTGATTTAACACTTTATTCTGGTAAAATAAAACTTTTATTCAATTAAACTGTGTTTTTAAATGATTGAAGTTAAACCAGCAGAACCTGATGATAAAAGCGTTCATTTTTGTCAAAGTTCTTATTTTTCTAATATTTTGTTCAAATGAAAGTTTGAGAAACATTCAGTTGATTTAATCCGATCTTTTCTCCTCAAACCCAGAATAAACCTGGTTTGGATGCAGAGGTAAACCATGATGTTTTTCTTTCAGCCGGAGGAAGAGCCGAGGTGAACCAGACTGAGGCCGGTCAGACGCAGGAGTCCAGCAGTGAGTCAGCGCTTTACCTGCACAGCTTGATTAACCTGTTTACCTGTAATGTTCATGTGGGTCCAGGAGCAGCTCTGAGCTCAGGCTGCAGCTGCTACAGGAAGTCTGCGTGACCTCGTTAGSAAATGCATCTTGGTGGATTTCTGCAGCTGCATCAAACTGAAGCAGAATCTGCTCTTTGTTCTCTGCGAGCTGCTGCTGCACCAAAACGTTCAGCCACAAACGACAGCCGAAACTTTTCTTTTTTCTTTAATTTGATTCACTAAAACAAGAAAAATCCATATACAGTTAAAAACAAAACAATTTATACATGAAATGAAAAGAAGCAGAGAAAAAAATCTTAAAATGTCTGCTCTTTTCTCTCTAAAACATAATATTAATAAAATAATAATAAAATATAAATATTAAATAATATAAGATAGATCTTTGTCATTGTTGCACTGAAAAGAACACTGCAGTCCACAGACAAAAAACAAAATAATTTTGCAGCTCCCATAGTGCAAATAAATCAGAACGTTAAAAAAAGATAAAATAAGAGGTAGAAAAATATTTAAAAATAAGATAAAATAAGATAAAAAACAACAGTAGCAGCCATAAAGTGTCAGGTGAACATTATTGCACATAACCGTAGTTTTACCAAGTTAACCATGTGTGTGTTTAGAACTGCTGTTGGATAAAAACTGTTCTTAATGTTTGTTCTGGTCCTAACATGTAAAATAATAATAATATAAAATAATAAACAGGTATTTTACAGACTCAAACTTTGAAACAAAAACAGCATCGGTTCACTGAACAGTTTGGAGATAAAACTTAGTATCATTTTTTCAACAAAGCAGCTTTTTCATGATTTTAAATATTTAAATTGTTCTGGAAGTTTTAATTTCCTCATCAGGATTATTCTATAAACTTACTGARTTACACATTTATTTAGACTAAAACAAAAAGGAGGTTTTTAAAAATCTCTATTCCCTAAAGATTATATTTTAAAGTTTAAGTGAATATTTACAGATAATATATGTTTATTTATTATATATTTTTATCAGCATTATATATGACATAAAATACTATAATCTACCAAATCATAAAACTTCTATAATTGAAATCTGTTGGATGATAATGTTTTCCAATAATTAAATTTTTTAAAATAAAATAAAAATAGTATTATAACAGTTAACATATATTAAATGTGGTACAATCACTGAGTTATATAATATATACATAATTTAAGAACTCTTTCACTTTATTCAACAAATAGTTTTTCTACTTTCATCCTTAAATAATTAATGTGTAATCTCCAGATCAGCTTCTCATTAATGACATTTAAACATTTAATTTAACTGATTCTTTAAATTCAAACATTAATTCTGGATGAAGCTTCAACATGTTTCCTTCTGTTAATAATCATGTGGTTTGTTTTGTCCAAATTCAACTTATTTAAATGAAACCAGGTTTGTACGATCTCTGACATTTGTTCAGTATTTTCACCACAACAGAAAAATGTGTCGTCAGCAAACAAAATACTTTTTCAAAGCTTTGAAACGCTGATTAATTCGTTCAGATATAACCCAGATACAGCTCAGAGGCATCAGATATGACCCCCGCATGTACTAAAGCACCAACGCACCACAACTCAGGAGAATGATTTTTTTTTGGGGGGGGGCTCATTGGTGGACCGATGGATAGCCCTTCATCAGAGCTAAACAAAACAAAAAAATAAGTAAATAAAACTGAAGCTCCTATGTTGAACAGTTTTTGAGTTATAAGCATTTTGTATGTCCAGACACCCCATTTTCAGATGGAGCCCCCTCCTCAAATACGGGGTCTATGGTAAAACCGTTGGGTGGTGYAGTGTAGGTCGGACTCATCTACAGTCCTGACTAATGTCACATTGGTCGGTGCAGTTGTTTCTGGGATACAGTCGACCAGAAATGTTAAAAAAAAGTTAAATAAACATGATGACCCAGTGCGGGGGTCATAATGAACAGCTCTGCTCCGAACACAGAACCCTGAGGAACTCCACATTTAATATTACAGAGTTCAGATCTGACATTATTTAACCGAACAAACTGTTTCCTGTTGTTCAGAGAAGTAGAAACCTGCTGTAGTGTCGATCCTCTAACGCTGTATTTATTCAGCTTTTCAAAGAGAATACTGATCAATAGTGTTGAAAGCTTTAAATAAAAAATAAATACTAAATACTATTTTTAATTAGCAGCCGTTTTTATCTCAGTTAATTCCATGAGAGCCATTAATGTAGAATTATTTGTTTTAAACCCAAACTGTCTGCTACTTAAAATATTCTGTTTATGAGTTGATCTAATTTAATCACAAATAAATTCTGTAAAATCTTTGAAAACTGTGTAACAAAGATATTCGTCTGTGGTTGTTCAACACATTTATCACCGTTCTTAGAGAGGAATTATCTTGGCTGTTTTCATGTTTGGAAATATTCCTGTTGAAAATGATAAATTATAAATGTGAACAATTAAATAACACAGTTAAATCATGTCCACCCAGCCTTTTGATCCTTTTATCTACAAGCTGTTTTACAATATTCAGTATTTCTTCTTCATCAGTTTCACCAAGATAAATAATTTTGGTACAWCCCATGACTTTTATTATTTCAGCTGCAAAACAACATTCACAAAGTATTTATTAAATAAAATTATTATCTGACTTTGATCATAGGTTCCTTCAGTCGTCTTTTACAAAGTATTTTACTCAGAGTTACAGAAAAACACTCAGTTTAACCAGAAATGAGTTTATTTTAGGATTTAAACCTGAAACTCAGTCTCACTAAAATCAAAACAATTCATCCAAAGTTTCAGATATTTTACTAACAGGAAGTGTTTCTGTGCCCTCAGGTGATCTTTACGTTCAGAACCTGACAGGTAAATGCAGCTGGACCCTCAGGAGGTCTGGAAACAGGAGCAGAGACCCGGTCCTCCTCTTACCGGACTCTGTGGACCTGCTGGCTGAAGGGGTCTGCCAGGACCTGGACTGTGGAGGAGTCTATCATGTGGACCGAAGCAGCCGGACCACCAACAGCAGCTGCTATCATGGCTGCTCCCACCAGGACCACCGTCTGCAGAACTGCTCCCAGTCTGTGGGCAGYACCTGCTCTGAGATCCACCAGGTGGACTGTGGTGAGACTATAAGGTCCAGCTCTCTCTAGAGTCTGGTTCTGGTTCTGATGACCCCTCCTGCTGTCGTAGGGGGGTAACTGGATCTTCCTGGCTCTAACTGAGACTCTTGTCTTCCTCAGGACACGGGGCGGTCCGGTTAGCTGGAGGTTTGGACCGCTGTGCCGGCCGGGTGGAGATCTGGAAGGACGGGGAGTGGGGGACGGTCTGCGACGACCAGTGGGACCTGAGGGACGCCAACGTGGTCTGCGCCCAGCTCGGCTGTGGGTACGCCCTGAACGCCACGGGTCAGGCCGGCCCGTTTCCCCCCGGCAGAGGACCGGTCCACCTGGATGAGCTGAACTGCACCGGGGACGAGGACGACCTGTGGACCTGCCCGTCTGCACAGGACCAGTCCGACTGTGGACACAAGGAGGACGCCGGGGTGGTCTGCTCAGGTCTGACCCAGAACAACAAAAACCTCAGGACCCAACAGGTTCTGGTCGGGTCAGGAGTTTCAGATCAGTCTGATTTACTGTTGGGAACGACCCGGTTCTGTTGGGTTTGTTTACAGTCAAAGAGCCGAAATTTACTGAAACAGCTGAAACTGAGCTGATGAAGATGAAACAAGCAAAACGCTAGCTGAAAGCTAAAGCAGCAGAAGGCTAGCTGAAAGCTAAATCAGCAGAAGGCTAGCTGACAGCTAAAGTAGCAAAACGCTAGCTGAAAGCTAAAGCAGCAGAAGGCTAGCTGAAATCTAAAGCAGCAGAAGGCTAGCTGAAATCTAAAGTAGCAGAAGGCTAGCTGAAATCTAAAGCAGCAGAAGGCTAGCTGAAAGCTAAAGCAGCAGAAGGCTAGCTGAAAGCTAAAGTAGCAGAAGGCTAGTCCGGTCAATAATAACTAAATAATTAAGTATACTAATAAGACAGAACCTGAGTAGCTGAAGAGTTGAATGTTTGATGAGGAAAATGTAAATAAATAGTTTATTTGCTGTAATTTTTACATATTTCTGTGTTTCTCTGTCCAGAGATGAGAGCTGTCCGACTGACCGGAGGTTTGGACCCATGTTCTGGTAAAGTGGAGGTCCATCGTAACGGCAGCTGGGGGACGGTGTGTTATAACTGCTGGTCCAGAGAAAAGGCTGCCATGGTGTGCTCCATGCTGCAGTGTGGGCCCGAGCCCCTCAACTACTCAGCATTCAACCCTCCTTTCACTGAAAACCAGGGGACACCGTCGTATTATTACCTTCACTGTGGAGCTCACGAGAGCCTCTGGCACTGCAAAGAATTCATCAACAATCCAAATTTATGTCGTTCRTCCAAACCTTCAGGTGTCATCTGTAACGGTGAGGACTGCTTTGGGTTTTCTGAAGCAGGAAACATTTTTATTCTGCTTTAAATCACATTCTTACACTTATGGGACTCGGGGGGGGGGGGGG